GTCAGTTAACATTTCTCTTCGAGGGAGGTGGTGGCTTGACAAATGTAATGCTTGTTGTAGCCATCTGAGTCGATTCAGTTTCACAACGCCATCAACTAACTTTCTCTCCTTAAGTAGCATTCTGAGCCTAACAACTTTGAGCAAACCCCTCCGCCCACCACCAACATAGGTAAACAAGGAGAGAAGATAGACTGTTTACATGGCAGATTTAACTTTCTCAAAAACAGTCAAAATACTTGACCCTAACAACATACATAAGTTTTAAATGACTTGGCAAAACACTAAATAGGCTAATAAATCGGAAAAGTTGAACAAACAATGGCTGTTCAGCCTTCACAAACACTGCAGAATATAGTAAGTGCCAAAGGGGTGCGTGATAATTACAATACATATTAGTTATTTTAATATAATAGGCAGAAATTTAGGGGTATGTAATACTACACAGCATATGATTGTGTAATCTGTGATACATAATCAAATGAACTCTTCATTAGTTTTGACATTTTGACTGATGAAGTCATGTTTTGTTTTGACCACAATGTGGTAGGTCTTTTCCAACCTGATCTACCCTATGTCAGTCAGCTAACATTGCCTGTTGTCGAGGAAGACGACCGATGGTTGGGAGTGTGTAACACATATCCTGACCATCTCAATCGGTGTGACTTCACAACCTCGTCGTCTGATATCGCTTTCTTAACTTGCAGTCGATGGCTAACCTTAATACTGCATTCTTTGATCATAGGATGTGACATTAGGATGAAACTTTCGATTTTGAAGAAATATCTCTAATCCCTGCTTACTTCAGTCCAGAATGGTAGCTGATACGTTGACGTGGTAGTTGGGCTTGCGTATCCTACGGGTAACATTGTCTGGAACTAATATTCCTGCAGTCCCTAATTTATCAGAAAGGTTGTTGGTTGTTCTTGTTTATTTCAAGTGGAGACTTTGATTAAAAATTTAAAACTATTTGTTACTTAGTTGCTTTTGATAGTGTGGAAAATTCCCATATTATGAATTAAAAGTCAATCTGAACGAAGAATATTCTTTTCAATAATTTCTCTTCAGGTTCTTACAATTATAAAATATAATATTTGTTGTCGTTACAATAAAGGCCAGTTATGCGGCAGATACATTTTTAACGTAGAATAACAGATTAGTTTTGGGGTGTCAAAATAAATAGTCGTATTTGTGTGACAAACGTGCTAGGCTGAAATCGATTACAAAATATTGTTAAACGGGAGACAATGGTGTTGATTAATCATAATAGATTTGTAGAGTGTCGGGTAGGAAAATTGACAAGTCAGTTCAAGGTTATAAAAGGTGTCAGGTGGTCTGTGTTAAACAGGAGATAGTAAGACTGCAATGGGAGGTTCATAATGAGATAACGAATATGTGAAATGAAACAGGTGGAGGCATATATTGAGAAAAGAGATAATATCACTAATAATAAGTCCGGATAGTATAACTGGAAAGTTCGATAGTATTGAGAGAATGTTAACATGAAGGGCATAAATTATGACGAATAATAGTATTAATAGTTGTAATAATAATAATTGTAATAATAAGCGAAGGAAAAAAAGCCAAGAGGGTTAAGGGGAAGGAGCACTCTTGGTGAGAAGAAGAATCATCAATTCAAGTTTGGCCACGGTAGGAACAGCGTCTGGACGTGTTCTTTTTGGATACAAAGTTCCGGTTTAGTCGATCTTATTGCAACAGCTTCAGCTATGTGTAGAAGACTTAAGCGAACTGTACGTGATAACGACTTCGGAATTCGGTATATAACCCTGAAAGCTGTGTTGACATCGATATGATGTCCAGTATCGACCAAGTGTGACAGGATCGAGCTTTTTATGAACTTAATTTCCCCCCTGCTGAACCAAGCTGGTAAATGTTCTCGAACCCGTAGACGAACCTGCCTAATCGTGCACCCTATATAACTTGAACCACAGGAACAGTTGAAATGGTATATGCATGAAGAAGAGCTAAGGTTAGGTAAGACATCTTTGAGTTGCTGGGTGAACATTGGACGGCTACTGAAGGATAGACACAGACGTGCAGAGTAGAAAGTTTTCTTGATCGCCCTGGTTAAACGTTACGATAGAATCTCCGCAGGAGTATCTTCCTTGAATTGGAGACGTAAAAACAGATGTTACTGGTTTGTCAACAAACTGAAGCTTTGCACTTAAATTCTATAATAGGTTGACAACAATATGATATACATTTGAGGTGGTTTATACTTTTTGACTTACTCACCAAGCTTTGTTTGATTCATAGATGTGCTAGGGTGCAAGAGCTTACATGCTCACCTGTGTAAGTGTATTCCAACCTACCAATGTAGAACATTGAAATATGATCAGTGAAATTTTGGAATTTTCACTTTTTTCTTGTTTTTCCTTTTTTTCTCCTTCTTTAACTTAAATTTCAAAATAGATTTTTAAAATTTTCTTTTCATACCAAAAAAAAGTAGAATATGCCTTAAGTGGTGTAACTTTTCAGGAGTAATAGATTAAACTTTTTTGAAATTAAATTCCTACTTTATAAAAAGAGTTATTTCAAAGGTGTTTTGTAACTTACCAAAAGAAGAAAAAACAGAAACTAAAGATCCTGACTGAATATCAAAATGTGCGTGTGCCTCTTTATTTTTTGGTCCTGGTTTTGTCCTTTTTTGTCGTCAAATTTTTAACATGTTTGTAGACATTTACTAACAGTTGAAACTGTGGATAACTAACTCTCTCTCTCCTTCTGGTATTATTTGAAAAGTTTTTGTGTCAGTGCTTTTTATATTTATTCAGTGTATGTTTTCTTTTGGCGCTATATGATTAGAAAAATTATTCTATTCCATAATAATATAGTTATATGTTGACTGATAGGACAGAGAAGCATTGAACATTCGGATGAACTGGATAGTGCCCGAATCGCACTGAATCAGTTGGCGATCAGTGTCTGTAAGTATGTTATGTGCTTTGCGCTGTTACAAGATTGGTAGGAGTCCGCCGTAGCTTCACTCAATCTTGCAGGTGAACCACTTGAAGTTGTCGAAAAGTTCGTGTATCTGGGTAGTTGTGTGAGTGCTGGTGGAGACAGATGCGTGATGGATGAGATTTCTAACTGTATCAGGGAAGCTGAGGTGGCATATGCCAATTTGAGCCATCTCTGAGGCTGTTGCGACTTGAGCCTGTCTGTCAGAGGTCGGTTTTACAATGCTTTGGTTCGTGCTGCCTTGCTCTATGCTTGTGAAACCTGGCCTCTCCGAGATGAGGATATACAGCGACTGTGTGTATCCGATCATTACTGTCACCATAGACTTCTTTGTTTTCGATGCTGCCATCGTGTGAGTAACTATGAGGTCCGGCAATTTGTGTTTTAACACAGTAAAGTTTATCATTCGTTGAATGTCGTCATCTGAAAAAAAACGGCTTCGGTGGCTTGGGCATATGCTGCGAATGTCATCCCTGAGGCTTCCGTACCGGCCTCTTTTCGTTAGCCCTAGGACGGGATGGAAAAGACGGAGAGGTGGTAAGCCCATAAGGTGGCGTCGTGGGATGGAGGATATTTGTCCTAGTTTAGCATTGGTTGGTGCGTCATGACTCCCTGCTTGGAGTCCGAGAGATAGCTCGAATCGGTGCCTCGAAATGTTGTCGCATATAGCTAAGAATCGCAAACAATGAAATGAGTAAATAAGTGATACTTGGTTTCAAAGTCATTTCACGAACTCATATCAGTTAGAGAACCATTGAAAAACAAGAAGTACTGGATGGATTTGTGACTCTATGCCAGTACACACCCCATGATGCTTACGGAGACAGAACACGAGACATTCGGATTGCTAGGCGAGTCTGTTAACCATTCAGCAATTGATACGGAATCCAATAACCAGTCGATGAATTCTAACTTTCACCAATTCTCTGTACATAACTTCAGTTCCAACCAGTAAGTAACCTTGTTGACAATCTTCCTAGTGAGAACTTATGACCGGTGGGGTTCACCAACTTTAGTGTGCTGGAGCTGACGTTCTATATCGCGAACAGAGAGAAGTTAGAATTTGTGGACTGACTATTGAATTCCGTCTCGATTGCTGGAAAACCACCAAGTAACCTCTATTTCCTGCGTCCGATCGGCAGTAGGATGACGCGTGTGTACTCCTGAAAATTCTCAAACTAGGATGAAATAGCTCTCCAATACTCCCTGATGCTTAGCAGTCCTCTGACTGATGTCATTTCATGGTATAATTTGAAATCAAACAAATACCCTCAAACAATCTTGAAGGTGATACTTTAAATTCGACTTCTGTGAGAGTCCAGTCACTCTGTTGTTATTATTATTACTACCCTTTGTTCTATTATTTTCGTCTTACTTGTTATAAAATCACTATGCAAAAATTTGTGGACGTAATTTGTCTGTCTATCTGTTGATACAACCATTAGGAAGGCATATCTATAGCAAGTTGTTTATGTTCATGTGTTATCACTTTTAATTGCAGTATTCCTTTGCTTTTGCGTTTTCGTTAACTTGCTCAAGATTACTTTTCAAGTTTGACCACGAATTGATATCATTTAGAGAACCATTGAAAACCAGGGAGCACTGAACAGCCAGCTGTTTCATCAGCCTAGTTTGAGAATCATCGACAGTACTCACCCATACCATGGGGTTCGAACCCAGGACTTTCCAGTTTCAAGGCCAGCAAGCTCGTATACCATTCAGCCAGCCACTGAGACCCTATTCAATGACCAGCGCATGAATTCTAACTTCTACCGATTCGTGATTTTAGCGTGACCACTAACCAATGTCATCGGCGGGAAATCCATCCTCACACTTGACTGCATAGACCTCACTGGTCATGACTTCTCATTAGAACTCCAGGAATCTCTGTCCTGTAGCCAGCCGCTAGCGAGCATCAGATTAGTTTACTTCTAACCCTAAAATATCTCATTTATAAAATAATTGCTATTGGCTATGATAACTTATTGAATTTTTGTATTAAAAAAAATACTTTTTCATAGAATGCTGGATTATCTGCATTGCCTTATATTGGTATGTGGATAGGACAAGTATTATTCGGTTGGATATCGGATATATTATTAACTCGAAGAGTTTTAAATGTTAGTTATGTGCGAAAATTAATGAATAGTATAGGTAAGTTGTATTTTCAACTGAGGCGTTTTTATATCACTATTATTATTATCATTTTTTATTTTATTTTATTCTTTTTACCTTCAGAAGGGAACATAGTGCTTCAAGCTTGAGCCTTGAAGCTTCAGTGCTAGTTGGTTCCAAGCCTAATGCTCAATCGCTTCCTTCTTTACCGGGCTTACTAACGGCTAGGAGAGGTTTAGAAATGCATTGGCCGAGAATTTAACCGCAGAGTACTTGCGTGGTTTGGCGAGTATTCAGCAGCTGGACCACGGATGCGATTTTATATAGTCTAATTTGATCTCATCTAATATCAGCATCCCTGTCTTCTCAAACACATCGAGAACTATTCAATTGGTAGCTCACCGTAGTTCGAAACTCGTCAGTATCGTAGATCGTGATAATATTCACACAGAGGTCACTCGAATCTGCATAAAACTGAGAAAAGGTGAATATTAATCTAGAGACCTTTATCTTTAGGATGAATCATCGAAAAGAATAATTAAATATAGAAAAAAAAAATCCCGTTTTGGACATTTAGAAAACAGAAAGATTGAGCGAAGGAATATCTACTTTTCAGTTAGATCTTCATCTCGCTCTGGCTCTACTCTAATATATTATGTAAAGCATTTTTATTACAATACACAACAATTTACCAATCAAGTGGCACTGAAATGTTTGTTAACAATAATTAGTCAGTGTCGAAATGTCAATGGGGTGATAATTAACGGAGAAAATTAATACACACAATTTAAAGATAGAAATGGTTACAACAGGTGGAATGCATAATTTCGGAAAAAAAATGAAGAGTAATTAAGGAATACGCGTGTGCACAGGTTGATTATGTAACAGATTATTAAAGAAAATAAAACGATTTGGACAGTGATAACTTGTAACTAAGGGTGAAGTGGTCATAAGGATAAAATAATTTTACAAGGATAACATGCCCAAATTAATTTATTTTCTTTGACTACTTACTTGTTGTGGTCATTGTGTGTGTGTGTGTTTGAATGATTACTCGTCATTGAACATAGACAGACCTTGAAGCAACTGGTGTAGGAAATTGCCTTTCACTTAGCTGTTCTTGTAACCTTAGTGGATGGTTTTTACGTTCTCAAGTGCACCTTAGTTTTTCAATTTTTCTCTGTTGCATATCGGTTTGTGTCACCTGAAAATCCTTGTATGCATAATAACTAGCAATTTGATCTAAGCTAATCTAACCTGTAGGCTTCTAAACTTTATGTAGTCGCAAGGTGTGTATTATTGTAGGGCTTTTTCATTTACAACAGAACGATCCATCAACAATAGTGAGTAGCTAGAGAACCATTGGTAATCCACTAGAGTGTACTGGACAGCTGTTTGACTTTCCTAGTTCGGGATTCAATAGCAGTACGCACTCATCGGGGTTCGAACCCAAGACTTTCCTGTTACAAGGCGAAGTCGTAGAACATTCGGCCAACTAACTCTGGTAAGAGAACTGTTACTCGCCTATGACACAGACTGGCAGTTGTGCCATATATATATATATATATATATGTATCACGAACTGGTAGAAGTTCGAATTCATGGGCCATTGGATCGAGTTCCACTGGCTCAACGGTATACTAGCTCGCCTTGTAACAGGGAGATTGCGGGTTCAAACCCTTGCGGTGGGTGTGTACTGTTGGCGAGTCTCAAACTAGGCTGACAAAACTGTTGTTCAGTACTTCCTAGTGGTTTTCCAATTATCCTTTGATTTATGCCAACTTGCGATCAAATTCCTGCAAACCAATACTTGATAATAATGAGTCTCGACAAAGCAGTAAGAAGACTCATTTGATGTGATGTTTTTACGCAATTCATTTCAAATATACTGACCATTCACATATTTGTCATGCATATTTATACAGCAGGCAAAAAAGTATAAACGGTTACGATTTTTGTCGGTATGGGTTAGAGTATTGACAGGTTATGATCATAGATAAAAGATAGGAAAATGAGGCGAAAAAAGAGGGATGAAAGTCTTATTGACTAAAATTAACCTTGGTTCTAAAACTGGATTACGAAGGTATTTTTATTATTCTTATTCCCTTGAATTCCGAGGGGACTTCAACAAAACATCTCCACTTTGCCCTATGTTCTGCCGTCCTCCTCAGCTTGGATCACGGTCGCCCACAATCTCTCATCTCCTTCTCACACGATCTCCTCCGATGTCACCTCAGGATGACCCACTCGTCTCTTTCCATCCAAGTTGCACTCGAGCGATGGCCTAGCGCTCTATGTCATTCGGTGGTCCATTCAATGTATGCCCGAAACATCTCCATTTTCTCCTACATATTTGTTGACCGATCGGCTCATGGTTAGTTTGTTACCAACCAGAGTTTCTTGTTATATATTCTTTCTGGTCATTCCATCTTCAGTATGGAGCAGTTGTTGATAAAAGTCTGCAGTGACCTGTTGTAAATCCTTTCCTTGACACGCGGTGCAAGTTTCTGACCCATATAGAAGGACCGCCTTGACATTGGTGTTGAGAACCAAAATCTTGTTCATTATGTTGAGTGCAGAAGATTTCCAAACTGGTTTCAGGTTGATGAAGACGCATCTTGCCTTTCCGATTCTGACTTTGACATCTTCGTCCTTTCTGCCTGCAGCTGAGACGATGCTTCCCAGATAAGTGAAGGAGTCAACGTCTGTTAAATCTTTCCCGTTGATGGTGATTGGTGCTGGTTGTTGTTGCTGTTGCTGTTGATTGGTTATCTTCATCACCTCCGTCTTCTCTATGTTCACTTGAAGTCCTGTTTTCGCTGCTTCTTCAGCCAGTTTGTTGGATTTCGCCTGCCTGCAAGTCTTCGAGTTTATGTGACATTATACATATATCATCCCCACTCAAAATTCAGATCTTCCAGAGTCTTCTCATCGGTGATCCAGAGTATTTCTGTCTCCTCGCTCCCCAGAGTCTGACGCATAATCCAGTCCACCGTAATTAAGAATATCATCGGTGATAATAGATAGCCCTGTCTTACTCCTATATTCACTTCGAACGCCTCGCTGGGATGATGAAAGTAGGTAGGGATGTGACACTATCGTTCGGTTGCTGTAAGGATGTACAGGACAACATAAATCTCATTTTCTCTATCAAAATACGTTTAGCTGCCAAGTGAGTCGTATTAACTGCCACCCTGAGTCCTTGTTCAGGGATCAGACTTTGGTGACAATGAGTAGCACTGAAAAGCCTTTAATAGTTGTAGAAATCACCAATAGTATTTGAGTAAATAATGGCATATTTTGTTTATTTATTACAACAGAAACAATCCAGCAGTGCACAAAAGAAGTTGTATACAGACACTATTCAAAATAGGCAGAATACACTGCTGAACTCGTATCCTGAGGAGAACAGAGGAGTACTATATCTTGTGACCACCGTCTTCCAGAGAAATATAGATATCTGCGAAACTTCACCGAAGGATGCTTATCCTCTACCAAACTGACTGACTGACTGACTCAAAATCATTCAATGGAAACACAAAGAAGATCATTCTGTCATATTCGAATAACCCGTCTGAAATCCCTAGAAGACTGTTAATACCTTTCGGGACTAATGTCGCCTACAAATCAATGAAACCACTTCAGACTATACTATGTCAACTAAAAGACGTAACAGCAAAAGAAGATAAAAACTAATGTCCTCTATAAGTAAAATTGCTAAAACTGTGGAAAACGTTATGTCGGTGAGAATCATCGTCCTCTTTGTCTTTACATACAAGAAGATGAACTGGCCGTCAAGAAACATGGTATCTATTCCTTTCCAGCTTAATGCTTGCAGATAACTACGGAGACTAAGTACACCTGAAAAATGCACAAATTTAATAGATGAAGGAAACACGAAAATTGTCAAGGAATTAATCTCTGCAAGCCTGATATTCAGGTGAATCTGCAATCAAAAGACACACTGACATAATAGATACAACTTGTCAAACAATAAAAAAGAAGGCAGGATTTTCATCATGAGCTGACATTGGTTAGAGAACCATTGGAAAACCAACAGGGAGTACTGGACAGCTGTTCCGTCCTAGCTTGGGACTCTTCATCAGTACGCGCCCACCGGGATTCGAACCCAGGACCTTCTGGTTACAAGGCGAGCTCGTATACCATTAAGCCACTGGGACCCGATCCAATGGCCCATGAATCCCGGTGGATGCGTACTGTGATGAGTCCCAAACTAGGACGAAACAGTTGTCCAGTACTCCCAGGTTTTCCAATGGTTCTCTAACTAATGTCAGCTCATGATGAAAATCCTGTAACCAATCAAATCCTTGCAAACCAACACTTGAAAAAAGAAGGCACTTGGACAAAAAGTCGACTGCTAGGTCAATAAAATAATGAATAACAATACAAGTAGACAAAAATGGTACAGAAATCTGTGGAAACAACTAGCTACAGGTTCAATCGCAAGCTGATATCGACTAGAGAACCATTCGAAAACCATGGAGTATTGAACAGCTAGTTTGGGACTCTTCAACTGTACGCAGCCGCTAGGTTTCAAACCGAGGAGCTTCCGGTTACAAGGCTACCTCATAGATCATTCATCTCCTGGTATATGGGTCCAATAACCAATGAATTACAATTTTTGCCAATTTTCGATGTATCGAAGAACCTCTCGCCAGTGTTACAGCTGGTCACAACCAACCAATTGCTTTCATGGTTACAAGGACGGACAGATATGAAACTCGTGGAGACTTCTGAAAGCACGCTCCACAAGGAAGTGTGCATTAAATTATGTTGTCTAGAAGAACAATGAAAGTTTGACAACTGAACCATTCAATTCAGAGAATATAACTACATGTATATTATTGTCTTACAGGTGTGAAATAAAATAAGAAGACAAATGAATAATGCAACGTGATTTGAATTGCCTCTCCACTTTATGTGTCGATGGTGGAGCGGTAGAGCACTCGTCAACCACAAATGTGGTTCAGGGTTCGATTTCAGGTTGAACCACTCCTGTCACCACTGTCACTGAAAGTTCAAAGCTCAAGCTTGAACCCAAATGTCCTCCTTCATGGCTGTGAGACATGACCATTGAAAGTGGAAGACATAAAAAGGCCAGTTAGCTGTCTTTGATCATAAGTGCCTGCGTTCTACTCCCCGCTTTAAGTGGTCTAATAAGGTGAGCCCTATTGGGGTTAGGCGTTAGTCGAGGGCTAGGTAAAGAGGAGGCGAAATCAATCAACGAGGTTGTAAAGTCACACCGATTGAGATGGTTTGGACATGTGTTACGCACTTCTAGCCGTCGATCGCCTTCCTCGCCAACGGGCAATGTTAGCTGACCTACATTGGATGGATCAGGTTGGAAAAGACCTAGCACATTGTGGTCAAACCAAAGCATGGCTTCATTAGTCAATGAAATCCACAACAGTTAGTCTGAACTAGCCACGTAGGGAGGTGTATACTTCCTGACTGTTTGGGGTCCTTGAGATGATAGAAACCAATGAAAGCTGAAGGCAGTTGGTGATATGGCTCAAAATCGTTCTCACTGGCTGGCGCAGACGCATCCACTCTTTGTGATTTCTCATATCTAATACGACTCTGTTGTTCCTCCGTATTACTATTCTTTTTCCCCAACTCACACTTCTTTCTTATTGTCTTTCTTTTGATGAATCTCTCATTACTCTCTTTTCTGCTTTGTGTGCTACATGGAGGGAAGGAGAGTGGGAACTCGAACCGCTGCCATATCTGTGCAAAGCAGTTCTACATTGAAACCTGTCAGTTAGTCAGTCAGTCAAATGTTCCACTGAGGACGCAAACGAATTTTTTTTATTCCTTCACGTTCCCCAGCGGAACATAGGGGGGCTTCAAGCTACAGGCTTGAAGTTTCTGTAGCAGTGGTGCTTATTTTTACAGGATGGGGTTGCTAGCCTCATGCCCCCCAACCTTTCCTCTTTACCAGCTCTATTTCTGGTTTAGCGAGATAAGGGAGTGAGTCGGTCGGGAATCGAACCCCCGACCATGTGCATGGTCGGCAAGAGTCCTAACCGCTATTCCGCCGACGAATAAAAAAATAAAATGATTTATCGAAAATAAAAGATTTCTAATATTATTTTCCTGTAGCCAAATATATATCTTTGCTCTCGTTTTTTTTCCACATATATGTAGGCATGTTTGGACCGTGTATTCTTATGATTTTGATTACATTATTCGATTGTCATAATAAATATGTCGTTGTTGGCCTATTAACATCTGGATTATTTCTTAGTTCTGGTGTTTTCTCCGGTGGAATGTTGAGCCCGATTGAAATTACACCAAAATTTTCTGGTCTGTTATTTTCTGCATCAAATTCAGTCGGTGCATTGACAGGTTTTATAGCACCCATTGTGGCCAGTGCATTGACACCAGATGTAAGTTTAATTTTTAAAATTTTTATTTGTGAGAAGGAGTGCTCATCATTTGAATTTATGCGTTGCTTTAACTATGGGCTGTCGTAGTTTAGTCATCCAGAATTTCTGACTGACTGTATAACGGTAGAAGACGAAAGACTTGGTAAAGGAATGTTTACATTTGGAAATTAGTATATCGATATGTCCCACCGACGACATTGGTTGGGGTTGCGCTAAATCACGAATCAGTAGAAGTTAGAATTCATGCGCTGGCTATTGAATCGGGTCCCAGTGGCTGGCTGAATGGTATACGAGCTTGCTGGCCTTGTAACTGGAAGGTCCTGTGTTTGAACTCCATAGTGTGGGTGCGTACCGCCGATGATTCCCAAACTAGATTGATGAAACAGCTGGCTGTCCAGTACTCCCTGGTTTTCAATGGTTCTCTAACTGATATCAATCCATAATCAACGAGTAAAAACAAAACTAATCCTTACAAACCAAACTATAGAATATCAATTATTATTTGTTTTCCGGTTAACTTACATATTCCGTTGATTGATTTTCATTGAACTGAAGTGTTAGGTCTTTGCTAATGAACGCTTCGACAACGTCTAATGGTTAACATGAAGTTATTTCATTTCATAATGACTAGCAGTGGGTAATTGGTGTGTTATTTGAGCTGTATCTACATTCCCAATGAGTGATGATATGAATGCTATTCGAAGTCGAACTGTGTAGCCATCATTTCAGATATCGTCAAAGCATCCATACTACTAGCTGATATGTCGGCAGAGATCGAGGATTTCGACTGAACAAAGTGAGAAATGCAAGCTAAGCTGAAAGCAAATAATCACACAATATATCATCGGTTATAAGTGTATCTCTCTCATCTTCGTCTTCATTCTTATGAATATCTTCGTGTGGATATCTAACAGGATCGTTTGTTTTTTCTTGGATTGAACATGAGAACAAGTATTTGATTAACAGAGACTTTAATGGAGAGACACAGCGTACTTACTAGTTAACTGTGATTCCTTCCTCTTCATTGAGATACACACATTTATATCTCCATAATGTCCACGCCTATTTTTAAGTCTGTTATGACTACTTGTAGATGGGATCTCCCGGTTGTTGATGGAGTTTTTCACATAGTAGGCTGTTCACGGAAATTATTCTCTAGTGTTTGCTTGCAGGGGTTAGATTGGTTACAGTTTCGGTTACGAAATGTATTCAGTAAGAGGACCACTGGAAAACCAGGGAGTACTGGACAGCTGGGGTTTGAACCTTAGAACCTCCCGTTACAAGCCGAGCTTGTAGAGTATTCGGACACTGGAACCTGAACCAATGGCTTACGAATTTCAACTCCTATCACTTCGTGATATACAGCGCCATCGCCATCCAATATCATCGGTGAGTAGCTGTTCTCCTACCAGACTTGGCGTACCACTCTGGTTACGGCTTTCCACTAGAACTCTGGACGACTTCATGTCAACAATCAGTCGCTAGTGAGCATCACAATAGTTATCAAGTGTTGGTTTTTAGTGATTTCGTTGGTCACAGGTTCAGCCTTCAAACTGTCATTCTAATCGAAGAGTCCTGGATTCGAACCCTTGGGGAGGGGGGAGCGGGTACTGTTGAGAAGTCCTTGAAATAGAACAAAACGGTTAATTTTCCAATAGTTCTCTAGCGAATGTCAACTCATGATCTAACCTACTAACCAATTTAATCCCTGCAAACCAACACTATAAAAAAGAACTATTCACATTTTTATTCGAAGTTGAAGAAAAAGAAGAAAAGTATGTCATGCACACATTTTCCTTTTGTTCGACTTTTTAACTTATCCTTCACTTTACCAGTAAAATGGAAAACTTTTCCCCTTTTTGGAAGGAAACTTGCCAATTATTGATTATTATTTATTTTTTGTGAAAAAGAGTTATATTCTCTGTTTTTTCATTGGCATTGTTTGTTTTTCCTGTTGCTGCAGGATCAATCAATACTGCCAATATTTTAGACAGTAACAATCAGGTGATCAATAAATATATTGATTAAATAAGTTTGATTCTTCCAATTCTCCCCCACTCCCTCCACCGCCTCGCCCCGCCGCCGCCATTATAGTTAGTCCAAAGTAATCAAATTGAGTGATTTAAACAACTACAACAGTTTTATTAGTGAAATAATGGCTTTTTTTCTCTCCAAAAAATATGTTTTAAACAATGTGGAATTTCTAACACACATTACCTCACATTGCATGTAGGCGTTCTCGTTACATTACATAGAAAGTGGCGAAATAATTACTAGGGCATTTACACTGACGATTATAATAATTAATAACAATGTTGTCAAGGTACTTAACCCTAAGTTCCTATTATTTGCGAAGACGCTCCGAATCGACATTTACTATGAATGATTATCGACTTTAACTGCAAAACACAAGGATCAATAAGAAACTGTATTCTTCGGCAGTTGAATTCGATATCGGTACAAAGTCTATAAAAACAATGTTTTTTTTCTACAAGGGATGTATTGTACTTTTATTCGCATTCTTTCGTCTTCTTCCAATCTGTACACGCACTCTGCTTTGTGTGCGTCGGTGGCACAGAGGTTAGGACTCTCGCCGACCATGCACATGGTCCGAGGTTCGATCCCCTGCCGACGCACACCTGATATCTATGGTCGGACTGCAAAATTTGGGCTACCGATATCCATGCTGAAAATTCCATACTTGTACTAAAAATACGGTGTGGCATCAAGCTGTAACCAAAAATAAAAAAAATAAAAATAAAATTGAATCAATCGCGCCTTCGAGTAGCCCGCCAATGGCTACAAGTTCCAATAAACAAACGTTCAACGTTCGCATTCATTTACAAATGTTAATAAGAATATGATCGTAAAGTTAAAAGTATGTAGCACTAGTAATAACAAGAGTCCGACAAGATGATATTATTCGCCAATTTCCTAAATGATTTCAAGTGTCTGTCCCCAACAGTATTAACGATTTGGTTAATCTATTCCTCTTTCACCCTGCTAACAGTTTTTAGTGCTCTTTGCAATATTTATATTTTTTATTCCTTCACATTCCCAGTGGAACATAGGGGGCTTCAAGCTAGAGGCTTGAAGTTTCGGTAGCAGTGGTGTTTGTTTATTTTTACGGGATGGGGCTGCTGCTAGCCTGATGCTGCACCCCCCCCCAACCTTCCCTCTTCTTACCAGTCTTATTACTGGCTTAGTGAGGTAATACAACAAAATCTTTATTAGGACAGTAGTCCAGGGAAGATTAAGGGGGAACAATCCAGAAGAATAGAATAGTTAGAATACAAGAATTACCAAAGTTTAGAAATTAGAGATTGGGTGATATCGGATTGTTTAAACTTCCTTACGTAGAACGTTAAACGAAATATCGATTTAGAAACTAATATGATTTGGGAAGACCAGAAAAGGTCAGATTTATCAACAGCTATCTTCACTCTATACTGAAGATCAGATGGCCGGAAAGAATCACCAACAAGAAACTATGGGAACAAACAAAACAAGAACCAATCGTTCAACAAATATGCAGGAGAAAGTGGAGATGGATTGGACACTCGCTGAGGAGGCCGCTGGGTGACATCGCGCGTCAGGCCATTGCTCGAGTGGAACCCGAAAGGGAAGCAGGGAGTGGGACGTCCAAGAGTGACATGGAGGAGATCATGTGAAGAAGAGTTGAAACAGTATGGATTAACATGGATACAGGTGTAAAGTACATCAGAAGACAGAAGCAAGTGGAGACGTGCAGTTGAAGCCCTATGTTCCACTAGGAACCCAAGGAAACAATAATAATAATAGAAAAGGTCAGAGGAAAGATGTAATCCAAGCTGTGTATTCAACATTCGACTTTAGTTTCAACTCTAGTGCTTTCTATGAAAAAAAGCATCATGACAGCGAACCAGTTCATGTCAGTCGTGTTTGTGTCTAAAAGTGAAATGAACAGTCTGACATTTAGAGGGATTCAACTTAAGATCATTCAGCAAAGATTACTGACTTACTTCAGATGAAAAAGTTATTCACTTTGGAACAATCTAATTGAAATGTCATCATCATGGAAAATGTTCGAACATCCCCGTGCCTAACAATACTGGCTGGCTTTTTCAAAATGAGGCATTTAAGTCATGTGAGAAGAAAGAAAACAGAAAAGGAGAAAGAACAGCACCTTATATCCAGTGTATTGATTCCTGTCAGAAAGGTAAAAATGCGACCGTTAATCCTGCATCCTGTTTGTGTCGCAGCCGACCTGTCTAACAAAAGATACCCACCTATACAATCAACGGCAGATGTGTATATATTTGACATCTCTGTCTAAACTGGAGAGAATATTATCACATAAAACAACAGTAAAATCTAAAGTACATCTGTTCTAACCCAAAGGAGTAATAAATAATAACTCAGATGGCGATAATTTCAACAGTCTCTACACCACCTTAGAAGAGTCTGATGTGCTTGTCTTTTTTTTACTTCTTTGCCCTCCCAGTGCTACATAGGGCCTCAAGCTAGAGCTCTGCGGTTTCGGTAGCAGTGGTATTTATTTTTACAGGATGGGGTTGCTAGCCTCATGCCTGACCTTCCCCCTTTGCGGTCCCTACTAGCGGCTTAGCGAGGTAAAGGAGTGCGTTAGCCGGGGATCAGACCCTGGACCACGTGCGTAGTCGTTGAGCATTCTACCGCTGTGCCACCGACGCACAATATGCTTGTCTAATATCTTGTATTAACTAGGTGACAAGTTATGGAGACATTGATTGAAGCTGAACCTCCAAGACACAAAGTTTTCGATAAGTGTTCAATAGTCCCCGTACACTACTGTCTCTACATTCTTCCTACATGCTTATTTCTATGCCAGTTAGTGGTCAATAGATGTAATACAGTATGTGTGATCTTCCTAATTCTTTACCATCCTTCAATCACTACAGTCAAAATATTATTATTGTTATTATTGTTTCCTTTAATTCCTAGAGGATCATAGGGCTTCAGCCGAGCGTCTCCACTGAGTT